AGTATGATGAAGCGTTAGCTATTCAAATATGTAATGGATTACGTCCTGAATTTGCTAAAGGCACTCCTGAATACTATATCCAATTAGCAAATCAATGTATGGATGTTAATCCTTCTAATAGACCAGCTGCATCGGATATCTATAAAAAATTATTAGGGTTGCATAAGCTTTTAGATAATAGTAGCGCATATAATGAATATGAATTAACAATATTAAAGGGATTCCAGTCTGTGAATGCAATCATTCCAACATTATCAACCAAATTTCCAATTTTTCCTAAAGATAAACCTACAAGTAAACTGCTTAACTTTAAAAACCTTTCTAAGCCAATTAATTCTTTGGTGTCAGGATCTTGATAATGTCGGGATCTTGATATTGTCAGGATCTTAATATTGTCAGGATCCTTGATATTGTCAGTATCTTTATAATGTCGGGATTTTGATAATTTCAGGATTTTGATAATGTCAGGATCTTGATAATATCAGGATTTTGATAATGTCGGGATTTTGATAATGTCAGGATCTTAAGTGTTGGGATATTAAGTGTCGGGATTTTATTATTGTCAGGATTTTGATAATTTGGGATTTTGAGTGTCAGGATTTTGAATGTCAGGATTTTGATTTGTCAGGATTATAATTTGTTGGGATTTTGAGTGTCAGGATTTTGAATGTCGGGATCTTGATTTGTCTGGATTTTAATTTGTTGGGATTTTGAGTGTTGGGAATTTGTTGTTGGGATTTTGTGTGTCAGGATTTTGTTTGTCAGGATTCTGTAGTAAAACCAAAATTTTCAAATTTCCTGAATATTTTCAAAACCTTGTTAATTTTCTGATTATAATTTTTATTAAGCAAAAAAAATTATAATTAGGAAATTAACAGGATTTGAAAATATTCAGAAAAGCTTAAAAGTTTTATATAGATTTTTGTTACAAAAAATGCTCAATTCTTAAAAAAATAATCTGCATAAAGTCTGAATATAATTTTAAAAAATTTTTTGTAAAAAATTTAAAACAAAAAATCAGAATAAGTTATAACTTAATTACATCATGGCTTGTCCTAATATTTTAAGTTTTT